GCACAGACACCGTCTTTGTTTCACCTCAACAGGACAAAGCGGAGACATTGTACAGAGACGATCTGAGTCTGTGACTGAGCTTGTTTTTAATGAAACCTTCTAAGTGTCCGGATAGAAAGTGGTGGAAGAAGCTGAGCGGGGAGCGTTTTGTGGAGAGAAATGGCGCTGACAGGAGAGCAGCACGATTCTTGGCACCGACAGAGCATCCACCCTCCACCTCCTGTGTGTGTGTGTGTGTGTGTGTGTGTGTGTCATATCTCTTCTTTCTGCCACTCTCCACCACATTCAGCCTCATCACCGCCGTCATTTCACGCAGGAAGTGAACAACCTTTTCAAGATGACAGTTTTTGTTTCTTTAGGAGAAATGAAGTTTGGCAGTCTCCCCCATTTTCCCTTGTCAAATGATTTGTGTTAATTAAACGTGAAGTAAACACTTTATATCCCAGACTAATAGCCTGCAGGTTAAGCTCTGAGCAGAGCTCTCCACCCATGACATAAACGTTTAGATAAGCCCTCTGGTATTTTTATTCTAGGAATAATCAGGTTTATGTCCAGGGTGATTGTTGGCGCTGCAGGGGCCTGAGTGGCAGGATCTTTATCCAATCTTTTAATCTGCCTCGAGCATAAGCTGATATATAAGCTGTTTTCCTTAAATCATGTTTAAATACTTTGGAGAGACTTTAAAATGACAGTGGACCTGTATTATTGTTAATATTGTTCCCCAGTTGGATACTGAACAGGCGACCCTAGTGTGGTGCTACACAGAAAACGCCACAATCATTATAATTGTTGTTATTTGGAAGCCAATTCTAAGAAAACCCTAAACATTTAGAGCTACAGAAAGGAACGATGTCGATCAAACATATTACCCTACTAGTGCTCAGTTTCAAAAGGAGCAGTCTTTCTGTAGTAGTATTATCCTATTTTGTTGTAGACTATTTTCGGTCCATCTGTACTTTTTACTATGTTGCCTCTAAATAATTTCTTCAGAGCTGAAATGTATCCCACTGTACTTCTACCTTGAGTGCACGAATAGATTATAAATGGCCTATCACGAACAGATGTAAGGTCATCCTCACCTCTGATGCTGGAAGGTAGAAAATGCATTAAGATTGTCATTAATAACCGTGATGAACATTTGGTCTTATCCTCAGTAAGTAATGGCCTGAACGAATTATCCTGCTTTAAATTCCCCCCAAGTGTAAAACATAAAAACAGAAATGAATATCTAGGCCTCGACTCAGAGACAAAAACGAAAAAAATAAAGGCTCTCAGGTATTTCATTTGACCCAGTGTCAGTCAAAGTCATTGTGTGTTTGCCTGATGGGTGATGACAACTGCGTCTGATCTCTTGACCATGCAGGCTCGTTTACAAATTAACAGCTGCCTCGGAGACTCACTGTAAGACCAGTACCCTGACGGAGGATGCAGCAAAGATTGAGGCCAAACTGCAGATACCACTGCATAAAAATGCAGACATTATCTTTAGGGGGTAAATAACCAACGTGCCATCCTTTACACTGCGAGAGTGTTGCAGCCTGTTGCAGAATACAGCCTATAGCCCCGTAATGCTGCAGAGATTCATCGGATACGCGGGGATGTACATCGCTTTCCTTTGAGGCCGTGATACTATATTACAGATACTGATACAAGACACATTTTGCAGGCTGAAATTAAAGCAGCATGACACATCATGGGCCTCTACGTGACAGACTAAGACAAAGAGTCACCTCTCCTCTTCCTCGGTCGAGTTACTGTAACTAACACTCTCTCCCTACAGCGAAACCCTGCAGCGCAGGTTGCTCGCCAACCTCTTTCCAAAAATAATGACAGCAACACAAAGGTAAAGACAGTGTCTTACGTTGTAGTGGCACGCCGAGAATCTCCGGTAAACTCTTTACAGGACTCTCTGTCGGTAGGACCGCCGCACTTTGCATCATCGTGATCCAAACGCACACACATACACCCGCAACACGGTGGGCGCGCTCCCCAGTCCAAGCTTGTGGAGAAAAAACGAAGTAGGATGTTGCTGATGTTGAGGCCTTTCTCTCTTCAGGGGAATCTCTCTCTCTCCGTCCCGTCCTATGTCCCTGCTATTTCTCTATTCCCGGGATCAGGATGATGTCCGTGCCGTGGTGAGCTGTTTTGGAGTGGACCAGACAAGCTGCTCGGTCCATTCAGCGATGCAAGGGCGGCGGGGCTGACGTCACCGCGGCAGAGGCTCATCGGCGGCCAATAGGATCGCAGGAAGGCCCGGGGCGGAAAGCATCCTCCACGGGTGTGCAAGAGAGGAGGAGAGAGGAGAGGAGGAGAGGCGTTTAACATGGTCTCTTAAAATGTCTCTGGAGAGGCGGGACTTTGCTCCTGTGGAGACCATAAATAGCTCACTGCAGTGGCTCCTGGAGGCGCCCCGGGCCACAAGGGCTCCTTCTGGAAAGGAGACGTGGGTTCCATGCAGCCAAGAAGACGAGTAACAGTTTGATTTTGTTAATCTTAGAAAAAAGGCACTTTAGAAGAAAGTGGTTGCTACCCACAAGCCTGTGCGCTAATGTATATAAACAATTTTTGTGGTTATCACACACATCAGGTGAAGCACCTTGTTTCCATCAGCAGTGAGAGACATTGAGCTATTTCAGAGAATTGGATGCATCTTTCTTCGCTGTTCTTCGGTCAGGAACAATATCCAGGCTATGTGGTTGTACATGACAATATTTTCCAAAGTATTCACTCACGTTTTCTCTTAAAAATCAACACTCTTCAACACTCAGATGCCAAGATGAGCAGTTACAAACAGCTATGTAAACAAAAGTGAAACCAGGGGATATTGTTGGCCCAATTACGAGTCGAATTCACAACAGCTTCACCTGTAGGAGCTGCTGCATGATGTACTTTGGGCCGGCAGCGCCCACGGAGCTGCATCTGTGTCAGTGACAGGTAGGATTAGGAGTCTGGGCGCAGTCCTCCTGACAATGTTCATTTCAAACCCCTTCGTCTGAGACCGCTCTCCTGGATAGGATATTCCCCCGGAGGGCTGCTAGTTCAAGCAAGATGAACTCAATCTTCGTTTCCAATTTACTTCAAGCGTGGAAAGAAAAGCACGCAGTCGGTCCGCGGGTTGTGTCTCTATGAGCTGAGAGTCCGTCCGCAGCTTACAGCACAACCACACCTGATTCAAATTTAGGCAACAATTAGCTTTGTAATTTAACATTTTTAATTTTATGTCATTCAACTATAATATGGATAAATATAAGCGTTTTAGCAGTTTAAATGTTGTAATGATCCGTGTAGGCGTTAATATCTGCAATAGCACAACAATGATAATGCATAATCATATGACTACAATGCAAATAATAACAGAAAGACTGTAGACTTCCTGGGAAATGAGAGGAACGAAAATATTTCCAGAAAATAGTAATAAAACGAAAAACAATCGTGTGATTTAATTAGAAATGAAAATATGAAGCCATGAGTAAGATTGGCAGGAAATTAGGAACATCAACGTGGATGGAAACGCGGTTATTCTGCTTTGGGAAAATATAGGAGATTTTGTTCGTGTCCATTTCAAATAAGACAAGATTTTCTGTGCTACATTTAGCTGATTTATGCTTGTATCTTATTGCTTTTTTCAAACATTTGTACTGTTTATTGCCACATACTGATTATATATATTATATAAGGTATGGACGCCCAATCCCATAAGCCCTTTCTCCTGTGTGGTCAATGTTTCAAATGTAATTTAGTAAAATGAAAACGCACATCAAGCTGATTAAAAAAACAGAGGTGGGTTATTACAGGAATTTTGTCGGACCGATTCGAAGCTGCAGTCTCCAGGCCAGGTGTCCATCCATCCATCCATGGCGTGCATGTGTGGCAAGGGAGTCATCTGGGCTTACCTTATTTTCATTATACACTTTTCCCCTCAAGATCATTCAATTTATTCAACTATTCCATTACTGTGATTGTTGGTATCGAGACCCTTTAGCTGCCCTGAAAAACAATGCAGATAAAAATGCTCTTAACCTGTCAGCAAAGTGCAACACAATTAGAATAGCTGATGGATGCAAAATACAGAAAGACAAAAGATGTGAGCATCTGCTTTAGTCGGGCAGTAAATACCACGGTCGTTTTCTCGTTAAAGGCGAAGAAACGCGAGAATCACTGGGTTCAAAAATAACCCGCAAAGGATGAGAAATAGACTGATGGAGAACAACTTCACTGCTCCGTTGAGTGTGTGTGTGTGTACAAGCACACACACACACACACACACACACACACCACGAAGGCTACACGTACACAGACACGCACGGGCCTGTAGGTCTATATAGATAGTAATACAGAAAAAAAATGCAGTAATAGTGCTACAGTGTCACAATGCACACAGAAAAACACTCAAAAAGGACTCAATAAATAATCATGATAACACACCTCTCATAAAAAAAAATAAAAAAAGCAAAGAGAGAATGAAAACAAACGCAGCAGAGGGAGCAGCTCTCGGGCAATAACTCAAGCTGAGGGCGGCTCCTTTGCCACCGCCTGTGACCCAGCCACCTCTAATTAGATCCGATATTTCAGGGGACGACTCCATCAACATCTGAGTTTCACAGGTCCATCTTACCGAGCAGGGAGTCGGAAACACTGGAACGCATCCATCCGAACAGGCTGAAGTCCAGTGCAGGTTATAAACACTGTGTGCCACCAACAGGCCTGAGCCGACACATCAAACAGTACATTAACTGGATATATTATTTTATGTGTGTAAATACGGAATTTATAAGTTGTGCGTTTGGACATTATTATCAGTTTTACAGTGGTCAATCACGCCCACAGAAGCTAAATTAAATGTCAAATGAGCAAAAGGGCAAATGCACCTGTGGTGACAACACATTAGTTTTATGTGCTAAGTGCTGCAAAGCAACACAACATTCACTGTGGCACAAATAAAAACGAAATGCATTTGATTCCAGTGACCTCCCTTCAGAGAAAATGCGAAATGTAGGCCTACATTTCTCTCCCCTTGCCAAATGAATAGGTAGCATCACCGTGCAGACCTACCTGATGACCGCTGCTCGCCGGTGAATGTGAGGCAGACGGTTTCCCTTTCCTCCTCCTCTTCCTCCTCTTCTCCTTCTCCTGCG